ATCATATATTCTCAATATAAACGCACGTAGTTTTCTTAGTGTCTTAGCAACTTGTTTTGTCATCAGTTGAGAAAATATAAGAAGACAAACAGGTATTTGATTGCATACTCTCAACAAATTCAAAAATAATTTCAATCTACATGTAAATTGTTAACGTTTCATAAATTTAGTGTGTTTTTGAGTTAACCAAACACCGCCATTCCTAGGCATATTTTTAATCTTACATTACATACTTTAAACTACTGTGTTACATAACATTCATATATTGATAAAGTCAGATTTCCCATTAAAAATCATCAGCTCAAAAGGAGATGCAACCGATTTAGGTACCCCACCGATATAGGACCCTCCACGATAAATATTGGCAAAATTATTCTGGGGAGGGTACTACCCCCCCCCCCCCCCAACCAACCAAAGAAAACATGAGTCGTTACTGCAGCCAAATCTTTGCTAGTTTGCAGTACAAAGTGGTAAAAATTTAAAACCGGCTATAAACATGATAAAAGATTGGATTCATATTTATTCAAATTGGGGGGGGGGGGGGGGGCTATCAAATTTTGTAAAAATTATTTTCAGAACTTTATAAATGAAACTGTATAAGGCTTTGTAAATTAATATTTGATACTTTTTTCTGAATAACCATGATGGTATTATTAATACATGTACCATTGCAGACAGAGATAAATTGCTTTTTTTAATGTTACATGTATATACGTATCCACTGAAAACAGTTGGGGGAGTCCGAGTGGGTGTGTCAGTCGATCAAGGTCAGGATATTAAATATACGAGTGTATCTAGTACCCAATCATTTAACCCCATCCACCTCCCCACAATTTACATACTAATATTGAAATGAATAAAATAATTAAAAATGATAAGGGTTCTGGAGGGGTGTTGCTAAAACGAGGAATGAAAAACGGAACGGAAAACATATATTTTTTTATCTTAGATTAAATCACCTTAAATACACAAATTTATAAACAATATACATGTTTATTTTATAAATTCAATCCCCCATTATTTAACTCAAGTTAATTTATTCATGTTCATAAAATCTTTTATTCATGAAAATTGCTGTCATAGCAGTGACGTAGAAACGATTTTGAAAGGGTCGGGGAAAGGGGGAGGGGTAAAATTAAACTTACCTGAAAAGAATTTCCCAAGCGAAAAAAGAAGACAATTGTTTGATTCGGGAGGTGGGATAAGAGTAAACTCCAGCATCTTTCATTGTCTTAAACTCCTATGGAGTTTTTTGTATAATATCCCCCGCAGTATTTTTATAAGATTGTACCAATTTAAAATTGGCAGAAAGTAAAACAGCGAGCTGCAGAACTGTAGCTCTCCGAAAAAATATATAATAGACCGGAGAGCTACAGTGCCACCCATTGAAAAAACTGTATATTTATTGCGCACAAATAAAGTGCCCTCGATTCTCGATTTATTTCTCCGTGTTGATGAGCAAGCAAGTTGATGAAACAAGAATATCAGCACTTTCGTTTAAAGTCATCATTTCGAAAGTTCTATGGTCGATACAATGACCTTGTCAGCAAATACAATTTATCACAGCTGAGTCAAATGCTGACTGACTTTTTTCATACCAATTGTTAGTCCATTATTTACACACTGAATTGACAACGGATTTTTTTCGTTATTTCCTGATCGTGACAAGGAACACACGGCGGTGGGAACCGGTCGCCAGGGGATGCTCACTCCTCCATGGCACCTGATCCCACCTCTGATGTTTCGGGGGTCCGTGTGTGCTCTGCTCTTATTTTGTATTGTTTCATGGACTTTGAGATCGAATACTGCTTGTTATCTCCATATCCTTCTTAAAACTGTCATCTCAAAATTTTACCAACCATGTGTTCCTAACATATTCTTTCACCGTTTCCACAAAAAACATTCCTTATAATTGTTTCTAATAGCCCTCCTGGAACTGGAATTGAGATCATCTGAAGTTTTGCCTATTTATACTGCCATTTTGGTTTGCAAGATAATTCGGTCCAACGCGCTTCGTACAGATGTAAATCATGCCGTTAATTGATATAGGAGTAAGGACTTTATTGGAATCTAGCTTTTTTTCAATTGAGGTAAAAATTTAGAAGAATTAATCCAGAACCGAGTGTATTTTTTCAATGGGTGGCACTATAGCTCTCCGGTCTATCAATATATATTTTTTCGGAGAGCTACAGTTCTGCAGCTAGGCAAACAACTTACTGAAGGCTGAAATTTTATATGTTCAAAGTCTCAAAATTTATATGAAAGATACTGAGTCCGTTTGAATTTAAATACTTGTAATTTCCATTTTATTAATTAAAAGAAACTAACTTACAAAATGTAAGGAATATATATATTCATATGATTGTTGAAAAATTGGAAGTACGCCAATACAATTTATTATGCTTTTTTCATTTCTAAACATCATTGGCAAAATGCTAATCCTCATATTAGGGGTAATTTCTGACAATTTAGTTTTATTTGATTTTTAATTTTAATATTTTTCAATCTTAATTATTATTTCAAAGAAATTGTTACATGTTTCAACATCTGAACAACAATTGTTTATAATTTAAAGTACTATATTTGACTTTTTAACCCATTAAAGTTTGAGCAATTTTTTGAAAAATTGGCAATTTGTAAATCCCCGTATCTTAAATATTTATTATTTCCCAAGCTGAAGTTTGGGCAAAGATAATGTTTAGAGTTATATTTGTACAATAAAATCAAAAAAATTAATTTCCAAAGATTGGTCTTGGAAGATTTTGGCATTAAATTTGCAATACTTTTGGCAATTCTTGAAAATTGGCATTATGGCAATTTTCAAGAGTTGTCTGCCCTTTGATATATTGCATATTTGATTATGATAATTGTCAATTTTGAAAGAACATAGTCTTATGTTACTTAAAAATACCTTAATGGAAATGCAAGTTTAATTTTGAGTAAAATAGATCAAATGTGAATTTTACCATTTTTCTTGAAATTTTTTAGTGCATTTGCACTTAAATGTGCAAAAAGGAGATGGCGCTGCCTACGGCTGTCATGCTGAATGATGGGATTTTTTTTGGTCATTTTCTAATAACATATTATAAAGTCTAACTACCCACCAAATTTCATTAAGATATGACAACCTTCGATTTGGACAGTTCTGCATGGTTTTCTCGCGGATTTCAACTCTTAAATCCTATGTCAACTTCCTGTTTGTCTGTGATTCTGTCGGTTTCATACATAACAAATTTTTCGTCACAGTTTTCTCTGCAACTTCTCATTGTAGATGCTTGAAATTTTAACACAATCTTCTCTAAGGTATACCATATGGTGGGATACATTTTTTTCAAATCGGATATCAACTTCCTGTTTGTCTGTCTGTTTCACACATAACAAATTTTCTTTGCAGTTTTCTCTTTAGCTATTCATAGCGGATGCTTCAAATTTAATTACACTCTTTGTTGATGCATGCCATATGGTGGGATTAATTTTGATATGAATCTGATGTCAACTTCATATTTCTCTATGCATCTGCCTGTAATTATACCCCCCGCAAACGAAGTTTGGGGGGGGTATATAGGAATCACCTTGTCCGTCCGTCCGTCTGTCCGTCTGTCTGTCTGTCTGTCTGTCCGTCCGTCCGTCTGTCTGTGCAATCGTGTCCGGTCCATATCTTTCTTACAGAGGGACATTAGAATCTACTACTCCACACTAAGATTGCTCATGACCTAAGGGTGTGTCATGACCTTGACCCAAGGTCATTTGGGGAAGTTCAAGGTCACTGGAAGAAAAATTTCATAATTCGTGTCCGGTCCATATCTTTCTTGTGAATAAACTTGGTAGGTTCTCATTTCACACAAAGATTGACCATGACCCAAGGGTGTGTTCTGACCTTGATCCAAGGTCATTTTGGGAACTTCAAGGTCACTGGAAGAAAATTTCATAAATCATGTTTGATACATATCTTTTATAGATAAACTTGGTAGGTTCTCATTTCACCCAGAGATTGCTTATGACCTAAGGGTGTGTCATGACCTTGACCCAAGGTCATTTGGAGAAGTTCAAGGTCGCTGAAAGAAAAGTTTCATTATTCGTGTCCGGTCCATATCTTTCTTATGGATAAACTTGGTAGGTTTTTATTTCACACAGAGATTGCCCATGACCCAAGGGTGTGTCATGACCTTGACCCAAGGTCATTTAGAGAAGTTCAAGGTCGCTGAAAGAAAAGTTTCATTATTCGTGTCCGGTCCATATCTTTCTTATGGATAAACTTGGTAGGTTTTTATTTCACACAGAGATTGCCCATGACCCAAGGGTGTGTCATGACCTTTGAACCAAGGTTATTTGGGGAAGTTCAAGGTCGCTGGAAAGAAAAATATCATAATTCATGTCCGGTCCATATCTTTCTTATGGATAAACTTGGTAGGTTCTTATTTCACACAAAGATTGCCCATGACCCAAGGGTTGTGTCATGACCTTGACCCAAGGTCTTTTGGGGAAGTTCAAGGTCACTGGAAGAAAAATTTCATAATTCAAGTCCGCTCCATATCTTTCTTATGGATAAACTTGGTAGGTTCTCATTTCACTGAAAGATTGCCCATGACCCAAGGGTGTGTCATGACCTTGACCCAAGGTCATTTAGAGAAGTTCAAGGTCACTGGAATAAAAATTTCATAATTCGTGTTTGATACATACATGTATCTTTATTATGGAAAAGCTTACTTCTGAAAAACCCAGCGGGGGGTATTTTGTCCCGTTTGGACAGTTCTAGTTGAACTTGTGTATATACATGATAGTGCTTTTTTACATCAGAGCGGGGGTATTACTAGCTATATAGTGAGCATTGGCTCACAGATTTCTTTTCTATTTATTGCTATTTTAAAGCTTAAGTTTCAAGTCCCAACTACTATTTTTCTCTTTGTTATAAATATAAACCAGTAGAGCTAGAGTCTCGACAGAGACTTCTGGTTTATGTGATTTAAACAAACATTTTTGTGTTTTTTTCTTTTTTTCAGAGGAAATTGAATGTCCTGTTCCTCAAAACATAAAAGGTAAGAGTGAACAAAAGAATACTGCATTTAGAGCAGCGATTATTTTATTACTGTAAAATAACATTTTCGTGGGGTAAAAATTTCTGTGGTTTCAAGGAAAAAACTATGCAGTTCAAGGGGATTGAAATTCATAGTTGAAGAGTTGTTGAATAGTTATGTACATGCCATTTTTAGCTCTTCTGAGCCAAAGGCTCAAAGAGCTAATGCTATGGCCATTTGTGCGGTGTGCGTCGTGCGGTGTGCGTTAACTTTTTAGAATATGGGCCATAACTCAAGAACCCCTTGGCCAATCAGTGTCAAAGAACTATATGCGGTATTAACCAACATTTGCCCCCCAAAATCAAACTTTGATGGAGTAATATTTAATTAAGTCCTTAAACAGGGGAGTATATGCTGACTTCAAAGCACAGAATAATTTCATAAGTAATGACGTCATATGTACGTAGTGACGTCACAAATATGACGTAATTTCAGTTTTTTATGAATTTTGCAGAAAAATGTACATATTTCGTCGATATTTTAAATAAAAGTCACCGAGCGCATGTGTGTTCAGGATTAATATTTTGATATAATTTGTAGAATGATAAAATCAATGAAATATGTCAATATTGTTCCTGAACACACATGCGCTCATAAATTTGAAAGCTTAAATTGTTGAAATTTTGTCCATTTTGTCCTCTTTCTGGAAAAGGATATAAAACCGGACTAGTTTGTGACGTCATAATAACAGAAATTGTGAATACACTGCTCTGGAACTATAATATTTTCTGTTAACTTATATTTCTCGTACAATTTATTGAATTCAGCACATTTCAGGAAGTTTTCAAAATTTGACTTTTGTGGGGGCAAACATATGCAATATACCGCATATAGTTCTTTGTCACAGGGTATCCTTGGCCCAAGGGCTACCATTTATACTAAAATAAGGGTTGGGACCCTAAAACAAGGGGAGATAAACAGGAAAACAAAACCAAAAGTACTGGTTGCTAAAAAATCTTCTTCTCCAGAACCACCAGGCAGATTTTCACCAAACTTACATACAAGGATTAGGATATGTTGAAGATTAAAAATTGTTCAAGGCATGACCCTGGGGCAAAGGGCATGCTCTCAAGGTCACTTCAAAGTTGACCTAATTTTACAATTAATAAAAATGTTTATATTTTGCTTACTATAAGGAATAGGTTCATCAAATCTTGTAAGTTGATGCATCTAAGGACTTTACATCATGTTAACTCAAAAGTAGGTCATGGTGACCTACTTTTTAAATTTTGCGGGCATTTGTTTTCAAATTGATTTAAAGGCATATTTTGAAGACTTTAAGGCCTATGATCATCAAACTTTGTCAGTTGATGCATCTTGGGTCCTTGAACAATGTCAACTTAAAAGTAGGTCACTGTGACCTACTTTTTGAACTTTATGACCTATCCTTTTTAAAACATTTAATCTCATTATTTCAGACACTAAGAGGGTTAGAATCATCAAATCTTGTAAGTTGCTGCATCTTGGGACCTTAAAACATATTTAAGAAAAAGTAGGTCACTGTGACCTACTTTTAGAATTTTGCAGGCATTTGTTTTCAAATTGTTTAAAAGGCATTATTTGATTACCTTCAGACCTATGATCATCAAACTTGGACAGCAGATGCATCTTGGGACTCTGAAAAATGTCGACCAAAATGTAGGTCACAGTGACCTACTTTCGACATTTTATGGCTATATTTAAATATCTTAGGTACTTATTGGCTTAGAACTTAGAATCATCAAACTTTATGAGTTGATGCATCTTGGGTTTTCGGAGAGTGACGACCAAAAATTAGGTCACAGTGACCTACTTTCGACATTTTATGGCTATATTTAAGTATCTACAGTACTTATTGGCTTAGAATCATCAAACTTTGTCAGTTGATGCATCTTGGGTTTTCAAGAGTGACAACCAAAAATTAGGTCACGGTGACCTACTTTTGATATTTTTGGCTATATTTAGTATTTCCGGTACTTATTGGCTTAGAATCATCAAACTTTGTCAGTTGATGCATCTTGGGTTTTCCGAGAATGACGACCAAAAATTAGGTCATGGTGGCCTACTTTCTACATTTTATGGCTATATTTAAGTATCTCCGGTACTTATTGGCTTAGAATCATCAAACTTTGTCAGTTGATGCATCTTGGGTTTTCGGGTAATGTTGACCAAAAAGTAGGTCACAGTGACCTACTTTTGACATTTTATGGCTATATTTATGTATCTCTGGTAATTATGAGTTTAGAATCATCAAACTTTGTCAGTTGATGCCTCTTGGGTTTTCAGAGAATGTTTACCAAAAAGTAGGTCATGGTGACCTACTTTTGAATATCTCAGGTATTTATTGGCTTAGAATTATCAAACTTGGTCAGCAGATGCATCTTGGGACTCTGAAAAATGTCAACCAAATGTAGGTTACGATGACCTACTTTTGACATTTTATGCTATATTTAAGTATCTTAGGTATTTATTGGCTTAGAATAATCAAACTTTGTCAGTTGATGCATTTTGGGTTTTCCAAGAATGTAGACCAAAAAGTAGGTCAAGGTAACCTACTTTTAAATATATCAAATACTTAATTGCTTAGAATCTTCAATCTTAGTTTGTCTATTAATGCTTCTTGAGTCCTCAGAAAACTTCAATCTTAAAGTAGGTCACTGTGACCTACTTGTGGTTTTTTATAGCTTTATTATATTATCTTCAGTCTTATTGGGTAAGAATCATCAAATTTTGTCAGTTGATGCAACTTGGGTCTTGGGATACTTAGGGTTAGAGGCTTCAAATACAAGTGATAGGTTGTACAATTTATCAGAAGAGCGATTCAAGGCCCTTGGGCCTCTTGTAAATTTTTGTGATGGATATGAATTCCTTGAAAACAACACAAATTAAATCCCACTAAAATTAGTGATTTCACAGGATATGCACATACCGGTACTTGCAGGATTTGCAGTGAATGTAGATTCCTTATTTTATGTGAATACTTAATATTATGAAATAATTCAAAAATGTCAAATTATGAAAAACATTAATTTGTTTTCAGTGGAATTAAATCAAGAATTTAAGCTCACCTGAACAGAAAGATCAAGTGAGCCAGTTTCCGTTCACATTTTGTCTCTCGTCCATCAGTTTTAAAACTTCATATTTTCGAATAACTGCAAAGGTGTGATAAGTCATATTGCTTTCGGCGTATCCTCAGGCAGTTAAGATTAAAGTTTGATTCAGACGAGATCCCGAGGGATGGGATGGGGCTAAATGGAGAGTGCAAAATTTTACATATCAAGAAATCTGCTGATGAAGAACAGCAGGGCTATATTGACTTATATATATATATATTAGGGATGTCAAATCGGTCCAGTTTTAATACTCGGTTACTCGAACGTTTTTCCGATCGAGTACCCGGGTACTCGGTTAAAGTCTAAATAAATATGAACAAGTTAATTGATAACTGTAAAACATTGTAAACCCTTGTAGATATAAAACCACATCATCTGATGGGAGGTTTACCTGTAAATGTATTGTAGCAATTATGACCACTTTGTGCCCGACGAAATTTAATCTAACTTTTTTTTAAGTTCAATTTATTTATCAGATAAATGCGAGAAATAAAATCATAAATAGTTCACAGTGGTTTTGTTTAAAAAAAATAATCTGTTCCCTAATTGTAATGTTACTCTGATGCGTTTGAAGTCCAAGTAATAAGTCGTCAGAGCTACATGTGCAGTATCAACATGATCAAGTTTTCCTATAACAGAGCGAATTTACGATCTCCGTATACTTTTCGATCCTAGATTTTATAAAATTACGAGATGGTATGTTGTAGTTCAGTGCAACGATGGACATATTAAGATTTTTAAAGCCTTTGCCTTCAACCATTTGCATTAATTGGCATGTAATCAAACGCATCCATATCAACAATCGCACGTGCAATTTCGTTTCTCTTTCCCCGAGAATTTACGGTTTCTGGAGAATTGACAATATTATCGAATTTATTTTAAACATAATAGACCTTTAACGATGTTCAATGAAAACAAATAATTAGAGCAAAACAAAAATAAGGGTAGCAGACAGCCGAAGGTGTGAAAAGCCAGGTAGGTAACCGGTGCTTGGTCACGGTAATTACTGTATAAACACTGCCACAGGCGATAACGGTCATTTAGAGGCGCAGGAAACCCTAATTACTGTATGTACAAGTGCAATGAACATTTTACGTTTTCAAACCGATTTTTTAATGCATTAATAAACAAGCTTAGAAATATTTAAAAATATTTATCCGAGTAACCGAGTACCATTTTTAGTATTCGATACTCGGACGTTCGATCGAGTACCCGGTTAACCGGGTACTCGTTGACATCCCTAATATATATATATATATATATATATATATATATATATATATATATATATATATATATATATATATATATGAGTGTTGTGACCCATGGGTCTCTTGTTAAATTTATTTCAACAAAAATAAAAAAAAAGAAGTAATTTTGTAACTGATGCTTCTAGCAAAATTATGCTATAATAATCCCTTGAATATTATACCATATAAGCAGAATTTTTAGTGGGGATTCAAATTGGGTATTATTAACAAGGGTTCTGAGATAAGAAAAATCACTAGCAATTTATTCCAAATTAATCGTAATAGCTATATTTCTTTAAATTATTAAATTACTAAAATTACTTCTTGATAAAGTATATACCAATTGTTTTGTTGATTAAATTGGTTAATTTATGTATGGTAAAAAAATCCCACTTGATTTACAGTATCAGTTATACTGGATTTATTTATAGATAGGTGCCTGGAGAGTGGATTGATAGCCCCCTTTTTTAATTAAGAAGAAGTAGTAAGAGTGTGTAATATCTCAAAAATATTTTTGAAAATCCCCGTTAATCACATCCATATTTCATTCTTTGCGCACAGTAATTCAGAAGTGAAAAAAGAATTAGATGGAGTACAATACAATCCGTATGTATTGGTCCCTGCTAACCAAGCAGGTAACAACATTGTCTTCGTGTGTTTTAATTTTAATCAAACTTGGTACATCCATAGGTGAAGGGGAGTTTAAATTGTAAAATGAAGGACCAAGTCCCCTCACAAGGGGAGATAATCAAGAAAAGACAAAAATAAGGTGGGGTCATTAAAAAATCTTCTTCTCAAGAACCACTGGGCTAGAAAAGCTGAAACTTTTGGGAAGCATCCTTGGGTATTGTAGATTCTAAATTGTTAAAGTCATGACCCAGGGGGTTTGGCAGGGCCACAATAGGGAATCAAAGTTTAACATAGAAATATATAGGAAAAAAAACTTTAATAGTCTTCTTCTCAAGAACCACTTGGCCGGAAAAGCTGAAACTTACGTGAAAGCATCCTCAGATACCGGTAGTGTAAATTCTAAATTCTTAAAATCATGAACCCCGGTGGGTTTGGTGGGGCCACATTAGGGAATCAAAGTTTTGCATAGAAATATATAGGAGAAATTTTTTTAAATCTTCTTCTCAAGAACCACTGGGCAAGAAACGCTGAAACTTATGTGGAAGCAACCTGGGATAGTGTAAATTCTAAATTGTTAAAATCATGACCCCCAGGGGTTGGTTGGGGCCACAATAGTGAATTAAAGTTTTAAATATACAGTCCAGTCCAATACGAAAATTCATAATATTACGAAAAAACTTAAGATTACGAGAAAGCGTAATATTACAAATTATCGTAATATAAAACTTATATTACAATTTTTCGTAAAGTAGTTAAATTACGAATACGTGTAATATAGCAGATTGTTAGAGACTATATTACGAGTTTTTGTAATCCAAGACAAATTCAAGCATTGCAGGAAATTGAGTGGCGGGTAGCAAAGTATGACTTTACTACGAGGTGTCAAGGGCGATAACTTGTACGACTCTTACTGAGATTTGAATTCTGTGTATTTCAATAAGAATTGCACGAACAGTTGAATTATGAGACGAGGGTGTGATTTTTAGGGTAGACTTCGCAAGAAAAGTAGGGAGTTCGGGTGATATAGACCGATGCGACATGCTTAAGCGAATATTGAAATTTACTGGAAAATTGGTCTTATTGGGAAAATTCCTATAAAAGAATAATAAAAGAAATTGTCCACTCACCCATCGCTGGCGGTACTTTCCTCTTGAATTACCATGCTTTCTGATAGGCATAACTGACCAAACTGACCGCGTGCTATCAGTAGCCGTGGAATCTGATATATTACTGACGTCATACTTTGCTACCCCCACTCAGTTTCTTGCAATGCTTGAATTTGTCTTGGAGAACGAAAACTCGTAATATAGTCTCTTACAGTCTGCTATATTACGCGTATTCGTAACAACATTACGAAAAATTGTACTATAAGTTTTATATTACAATAAATTGTAATATTACGCTTTTTTGTAATCTTACATTTTTTGTAATATTACAAATTTTCGTATTGGACTGGACTGTTATATAGGGAAAAATTTTTAAAATCTTCTTCCAAGAACAACTGGGCAAGAAAAGCTGAAACTTATGTGGAAACTTCCTGGGATTGTGTAGATTCTAAATTGTTAAATTTATTACCCCCCGTAGGTTGGGCGGGGCCACAATAGGGAATCAAAGTTTTACATAGAAATATATTTTTTTCCTTAGCTCTGCACAACTTAGACCTGAAGAAATGGGAAGAGGAAGACACTTTTTATCAGGAAACTCACAGCTTTTCTTCAATGATGCAAAAAGTGAAAGACCAACCATATGTAATTTTCGTTGGAGTCCCAGGATCAGGGAAATCGGCCACAGCTCGTCACATTGCACTTAAGCTCAAAAGTGAAAATTACCAGGTTTTGCCCATTAAGGACATTAGAAAGTTAGAAGATTTTTGCGATACCAATAATCCACAGGTTTTTGTTATGGAAGACGCCTTGGGTGTATATGGCCTTCAACAGTCTGAATTGAATATCATACTCCGATATAAAGAGCGAATAATCACACCAATGAATGAAAATTCAAAATTACTGCTGACATGCAGAGAGATTGTATTTAATGAGGTTTTATGTCACAATGTCTTTTTAGCTGAGGACAACAATGTCATTAAGTTGTGCAATTCTGAGCATGATTTAAATGACAATGACAAGAAACTAATCTTAAAGAAATATGGGTTAGATGAAGATTTAATGACCCGTTCAGAGCTTAGGTCTGCATCTCGAATGTTCCCTCTTCTTTGTAAACTGTTTGCAAAAGACCTAAAACTCAGATCTCTGGGTTCAAAGTTTTTCATTATGCCTGTACAGTGTTTCCTTGAGGAATTGGATAAAATGAGATCAGAGAACAAAATTAATTACGCAACACTTATTCTATGCATGATGAATGGAGATATGCTCTCAAAAGAAATTCTGCGAGATAAAAACAATGCTGAATTTATTGAAATGAAAACTGTTGTGCTAGAAAGTTGTAGGGTAGAAAGTCACACAGATACATTCAAGTTTATGGATGCTTTGTCTGCAATGAAAGGTACTTACACAAGAGAGAATGACACAGTGTTCTCATTTATTCATGATTATATTTATGAAATCTGTGCATTTCATTATGGTCAACAGTTTTTGGACCAAGTTTTACTCTATTTGGATAGTTGTTACATAGCAAACTATGTAAGACCAAAGGATGTGGAAGCAAGTACCAGTAGCACAGGTGAGAAGTCCTTTGATTTGTGTCTAAGGTTAAATGAAGGACAATATCTTATGTTTGCAGAGAGGCTTTACAGAGACATACAGGACCTGGATCTGCATGATGTCTTCATGAACAATTCTTTGAAACATCCTCAAGTAATACAGGCATTCATCAATGTGTTGGAAAGAAAATCCTACACAGAATTAAAATCTATATTCCTACAAAAGCAAGGCAGGGGCCTACCTCACTTATTAAGTAAAGTGCGGGACTTAATCAAGGAAACTCAGATGCAGACAAATGAGGAGATTGAAAGAGAGAGACAGTGTGTGTTGTTGGATGAGAAGTGGCATGCTAAAACATACACGCACAACATCAGAGTGATCAGTTGGGTGATTATGTATGGACATAATCAGATCCTGCAGTATATTTTAAAAGAAGTGAAGAAACATGATGAGGATATAAAAAGAGAAGTATTTATGGACACTCAAATTTCTGAACATCCTCAAAGTAAAAGGGAAGTATTTCATGACAAGATAATTAATGATATAACAGGAAGTTTGAATGCCACAAAGTTATTGTTGTTAAATTGCAGATACATAGAGCAGACCAGATTACTTGTGTTGGCTTGTTACAGTGGTGATGTGGAGACTGTAAAAGCAATTCTTCCTCACATGAATAGAAATTCACTTAATAGTATTTGTCTGAGTAATGCTCATACACCACTGGTAATTGCTTGTCAAGGTGGATTTAAAGATATTGTTAAAGAACTGATAAATGCAGGAGCTGATATCAGTCAGCAAGATTTACACGGAAATGCTCCACTAGTAACTGCATGTCAAGGTGGAAATTTGAGTGTGATGAAAAAGCTAGTGAGTGTAGGGGTAGATGTCAATCAACCTGATGGAAGAGGAAGAAGGCCAATTGTAGCTGCTTGTCAGGGTGGACATTTGAGTCTAGTACAGGAGCTGGTGAAGGCAAAGGCTGATGTCAATTTAAGAAATGGACAACAGGAGGTGACGACTGGTGAAAAAGGACAACGTAAGTGGATATTAACAACCAAACTAGATAAAGAAATGTACACACCATTGGTAGCAGCTTCCAAAGGTGGGGATGTGAGATTGATTGAAGAACTGGTGAAAGCAGGTGCTGATGTCAACTTACAGGATGGAGAAGGGAATACACCATCGGTGTCAGCTTGCAAAGAGGGTCATTTGAGTGTTGTGGAAAAACTTGTTAAGGCAGGTGCTGATGTCCACCTATGTGATGGGAAGGGGAATACAGCATTGGTATTGGCATGTGAGGCTGAGAATGTGGGACTTGTTGCTGGACATGATATCTAACGTCACTCACCAAGATGTATGGAGGAAATTGCTGCAAGCTGCATTAAAAATAAATTCTCAGTCTTATGTACAAAGTCTGATGAAACGAAGACTAGACTGTGGTGGACTGGTCAACATTCTTGCAACTATTTTGCATTTAGCATATCACATAAACAGACTAGATATAGTGAATGCACTGTTGGAACTGGAAAGTAAAATAAGTTTAAATTTGAACTTGTTTAACACTTTGGTGTTCCTTAGACACACTGTTGTAAAAATGGACAGTAAAGATGATGTGGTAGTCTCAAAGAGGTATGTCTGGCAGATGGAAGGTGATGATTTCTATTCATTAATCAGAATGTTGGACAGTGATGGTCTGAGAAATTTGTTGCAGGCTGGTCTGGGTGTTAATCAATGGATACAATATACTGATTACAAGAACAGACACTTTGAGGCAAAACCACTATTGCACATAATTCTAAATGAATATGGTCCATGTAATATTGATAGAGAAGGGAAAGTAAGGATCCTGCTCCAGGCAGGGGCAGATGCAAATGTCAGAGTGGGGTTTCGAGATGATGACAATGTATTTCTTCAACAGATGTTTGAATTTTATAAATGTTACGACAGACAAAGAGATCGATGTTATGACAGGTTAGACTGGGAAGGTGTTTCTGCTTTAGGGAGAGCAAGAAGAATTTTTTGTGATTATGGTTATTTTAAAAATAGAGATGACCTTACCATATGGTTGGAAAGGAGAGACGAGTACAAGAAAATAAATCAAGAAATTAAGAAACATGTCAGGAGATATTCATTTTGAAATTGATGAATGTAAACAACGTTAACTTTCATAGACATAGAAGCAGAATGATTTTTTTATTCCCCAGCCAGGAAAAAAATGCAGTTTTCTAACTATGTTCTGTTTCCTTGACATTGTTTTGCTTTGCTCAAGTAAAAAAATTAATGAGCTTAATTCTGGTATATTTATTTATAATGATAACTTTAAGTTGGATTAAATTTGAGTACTTGTTGATTGTAGTTAAATTTAATTAATACTAGAAATTAAATTTTTAAAAATGTGAATTGATTTTGTGAACTTTATTAAGGTTCATGAGTAACTAAGGTGACCTATTGCTATCTGTTTTTGATGGGTGTCAACACGTAAAGCGATATGCATTCAATACATTTGAACATTTTCAGTCCTTCTCTCATAGCGCTTAACCAATTTCAACCAATTTTAGTATATAGCATCTTTTGGTATTAAAGGGAACAACAAATTTTGAAATTCATCAACCCTGCCCCCCTCCCCCTTGCAATCTTTATTCCTGGACATCAAGCAGTCAAACTGTAGGATGATTGTATTAAGCAGTGAGTCCTCTATCAAAATAGTGAAATTCATAGCCCTGGGATTAGAGGTTCTAGTGCTGTGGCAGGGCTATATATACATGTAGATCATATAGTAAAAGAACATTGGATAGGTCCCCCCCCCCCCTATCTTTGATGGTTGTAGCATTTTTATACCCCCCGCAAACAAAGTTTAGGGGGGTATATTGGAATCACCATGTCCGTCTGTCTGTCTGTAGACGAGATTTTGTCCGGACCATTACTCAGAAACTATTGGAAGGATTTGTCTGAAAATTTGTACAAATATTATTCACCATATGAAGTTGTGCACCTGATATTTTCATCTTGATTCGATTATTATTTTGAATTTTACAGATGTTTTTTTCATTTTTATTTTGTGGTTTTGTCCAGACCGTTTCTCAGAAACTATTGCAAGGATTAATCTGAAAATTTGTACACTTATTATTCACCATATGAAGGTGTGCAATTGGAATTTTCAACTCTTTTTGTTCATTTTTTTGCATTTTACAGGTTTTTTTTTTAATTTTAATTGACTTGTTCATTTTGGGCTCATGTATAAGGTTTGAGACATAGAATCTAGAATAACTGTACAAAAATACTACAGCTTAAAAGTACTCATATAAACTTTAAAAAAAGAAACATCATCAAGTGTTAAAAACAGTTTTTACATTGCACAGAAGATAATGTAATTTTATTTATCTCTTGGGAATAATGACTGGACATGCATCCAGTTAAAGATAATTTAATGAGTTTGGTGTGGGAAGTTGAACATTAAGGCATCTTATTATCAACCATGTGTAATCTCCTGGGAATCAGGCACAAGAATTAAAGATCTCTCTTCTCTTATTCTCTTAATTGTAATTTATTGTCTGTCAAAGCACTTCATTACTGGATGACCAGCTCTTTATTTTCAATTGAATTTGATATTTATAAAGTTATCAAGATTAATTTGATTTTGTATAATATGATTTTTTTTCAACAATCAGTTTGCAGAGTGACATAACATAATTGCAATATATTTTTTTAATGCAGAAATAACAAAATTAAATAAAAAAAATAATGTTACAATGGAATTACAATGTATTAGTATTGATATTTCATTTGGTTGCACCTTTGTTTCATTCATTAAGAAACATGATGAGCAATTATATTTCACTGCCAATTTTTGTAAGTAAATTGCGAACACCTCTAGATCCATAAAGTATTTTTGAATTGGCACCTTCTCTGAAAAACCCAGCGGGGGGTATTTGTCCCTATTGGACAGTTCTAGTTCACATTATGTAATCATTTTGAAAAGTGTTTAAATTTTAAGTTGATATGTATATGGTTGCTTTCAATTCTAATCTGCCACATATGTTATATTTGTGATCATACATTTTGTCGTACCAGATTATGATTATGGGTTAGTATGATATGATTTTGACACTTCTTGGAACTGATATGTAATTACTGATTAGATAGATTGACTGATTGTGATTGATTATATCAATTGTGAATATTGATTTTGAATTGTATGATTATGAATTATTGATCTGACTTATTATGATTAATTAGATTTATTGTGAGTTTTGTCTTCATCATTTCAATAAAAGACAATTTTCAATTCAAAACATTTTCTATTGTATATTCTATCAACCTCTAAACAAAGCACAACATACAGAAATTGTGCCATAAAAGTGCATTGTTTCTTTGAAAATCTTCTCCTCTGCTCTTGGGTATTAAAGAACAAACCTAATGTGTATAGTATTTGTAATGAAGCAGGACGTTCATGGCTTCTGGGTCAGGAACTCTGTCTTAGGGTGGGGCTCTATTGATTTATATACTTGTATAATGAAAATGCATTTATTCTTATAAAATCTTCTCTGCATGCTCCTGTGTATTATAAACTATCTACATACATAGTTTTGATGAGCAAGCTTGGCTGGTGTTAGGGCGGGAATCAAATGATTTTATAGTGAAAACGCAATTCATTGAAAATTTCCTCTGCTTCTGGGTATAAAACCAATGAACTATGTACATACTTTAAAATCACATATTTTGGTGGAGTCAAATTTCGAGGTTTGAGAAAAAATATTGATTTGTGCATGGGAATTTGATGGAGAAGTGTGTAATAATGCATAAGAAATTTTACATTTCGAGGTAGATGTCATTTTTGTAAATTTTGAATTTACCGGGGGGCAGTAAATACAAAATCTACAACATGACAACAATTTTGTATTTACTGCCACCTGGTAAATTTAAAATTTACAGAATGACATAACCATAAATTTTTTGGACCTTGACATGATTATGTTTGGATTTTTTTTCTGATATACCCCTTTGGCTTTGTTATTATTATTTGTGTGATAATTGTAAAATTGATTGGTACATGTAAACTGAATAAATTTTTTTTCAAAGATCTCAGAAAAAAAATTCTCATATACAGGTATGCTGTTACACACAAAAAATAAGATTTTAATGGTCAGGCAGACTTGTAAATATTAGACGAGTAAAAAAATTACAGAACTGTTTGTACATCAAATTTTAAACAAATACAGGATTTTTTGCAACGAATTTTATGAAAAATTATGTAACAATTAGCTCTTGCTTGCTTTAGGTCTATGGTTAAAGCGATAATTCGAAAGGGTGGGGGAGTCCTAATTGCCTTCTAGATATATATGTGTGCTTACATAATCCAAAAGTATGAGAAAAAAAATCCACATAAGTATTAGAATAGTAAAGAATGATATAATTGAAGCTCTACCGGTTTCAGTTATATCATCATGAGTTTTGACATATTGCTATAGATACAAACATTTCAAAGTATATTGTCATATATAGGCAGCCATTCAGAATAAGAAGGATATGGAGATAGCGAACAGCATTCAATATCAAAGTCCATAAAACAATACAAATAGGAGCAGAGCAAACACAGACCTCCGAAACATCAGGTGCCATGGAGGAATGAGCATCCCCTGCTGATCGGTCACACCCACTGTATGCTTCTTGTCATGATCGGGAAATAATGGAAAAATCCGTCGTCAATTCAGTGCATAAATACTGGACTAACAATTAGTATGAAAACGCCAGTCAGCATTTGTCTCGTTGATAAAGTGTATGTGCTGACAAGGTCATTGTATCGACCATAGAATTTACGAAATGGTGACTTTAAACGAGACTGTTGATATTCTTGTTTCATCAACTTGCTTGTCAATAATTTACCTCGTTTTAGGAATTGTTCATACGTATAGTTTGCCCTTGCTTATCAAATTAACTGAGATATATACACTCCGTATGCAGGTGATGAAGGTATATTGCTGCATAAGTAAGGGAAGTGAACGATAGAAAAGTTAAAGTCATCAAGTTTATCATAAAGCTTGGTTGTAAGATTACCATTAACGTTTTTTTCAAGTAAAGTATCCCAGTATGAAACAGATGTGTCAGACTCTGTAGTATCTTTTATCTCGAGCTCACCAGGATATATCGTATCGACGTAGAAATGGAAATTACCATTGTAAATTGACAATACGTCGTCAATATATCTAAATGTCGAGTTGACATCAAGTGTTTTCTTCTTTTCACGCATAAGATTTTGCACAAATTCTGCATCATATGAATATAAAAATAGGACTGCTAATAACGGAGCGCAATTGGTACCCATGGGAATTCCAGGGAATACCTGATCACCAAAAACCACATATAATATAAG